GTAGTTCGTGTCCTGAATACTGTGCGTAACTTCACTACTACTACCTCCATTACCATTACAGTATACGAATTTCTATAAAAATTCGAAAGCAAAAATTAGCTTAGCGGAGAACGATGATGAATACAGTAAAACGGTTAATAATAATTGAAATAAATAACACCGGTAGATGTCAAAGACAAAAATACAGGAAAATAATGGCTGTGCGTAGGCACCAGACTCACTGCAAAAGTACAGACCGTGGCGTGCTAAAAAAATGGGGTAACTAAATTCGGGCTCACCAATTTAGCACACCAGTTAGGGCCGAAGTAAACACACGTCTACGAGTCTAAGCAATCGGGCTTATCGAACGTTTCCAGGGGGCAAGCGCGAATTGAGAAGGAAGTTGGATACGAGCGTGTGTAGTGTAATGCGACCTGCAGTAGAAAATGTACAGAGAGCAAAGCGCACGATATAACTCACCGGAAATTGTGTCCGGTTCGAGGTCATATGAGTTCTCGAAAAGGAGGGTAATAAAACAACATAGGGTCTTTACATGTGCCGAGGGAATGGTGTTGGGAAATGAAAATATTGTCATTACAGAGGCTGGAATGTCCAATGAGCTTGTTTTGTACATATTATGTAATCCCGTGATTTCTTTCACCAAACGAACTGCTATTCCTGTGGCCTTTTCCTTGCGTCTCGGTTGCGTGGGATATTGCATGCCAGAACCAGTGTGGTCCAGTGATTACGCCTCGTCCGTGATTGATAATCCGTGATTCGTATTTCGTGTTCAGTGCGTACTACTCATAGTATAACTACTGCAACGGCTTCTGATTCTTGGGCACTATTGGCTTGTGGTTCGTTGTCCAGAAACTGTAATGCATCGCCCTTTGGCTAGCCTAAAACCGGAGGCTAGGATCATCACAAATAGTTCCATTGCAGTTTTGGATATATTTGAAAGGTAAACATTGCGGTCTACAAACCTCCTGTTTTTCGGGTCAAACGTGAGGTCGAAATTTCGAAGGAACTCAGGGTTGTAGTAAAATTATTTTCACTTTTCAACGCCATTCCCCTGATTCATGTAAAGGCCCTATTTTGTTTTATTTCCCTGTATAAAGTGATCGTATATGACCTCGAATATGGCACAATTTCCGGTGAATTGTGTCGTGTGCTTGCCACTCTACACCTTTCCGCTGAAGGTCACATTACACCGCTAACGCTGGTAGTCGAATTCGTTTTCAGTCCGGTTCCTCTTTGGGAACCCTCGTGATACGTCCGATTGATCGAATTAGTGAACGCATCGTTGCTCAGCCCGTTTTAGGTTCTAAAGGGCTAATGATGTGGAAGTGGACCGCTACAACGAAGGATGTTCGTTATGAGATACGATCTATGCAAAGTTTAGAGTTATGGGCTTTTAAATTTTTAAGGATCCAGTTTTGGGAATACTCCGGTGGTCGAATCATCGCGCTTGGAGGAGTAACACTGATCTACTTAATGAAATAAGTGGGGTAGATATGTTTCATGGTTTATACTAGTGAAATACATTCTGTTCTGTAACTCATTTTCCCTTCTAAAATCGTTCACGGCACGAATAGAACCCTTATTTTATTAATTTTGTGCGGTTAGCTGCTTGTGAAGCTAGCTAAAAACCAGAAGTTTGTGGCGCACAAAAATGTGATCAAAAAAGGGGTAGATAGTGCATCAGCACTTTGTCATTAAACAAACGTGCAAACCTGAGGGTTGTTGCTCGGTGTGTTGTGGCCGGTTTACCACACGGTACTCCCTTAAAGTGGCAATTGCAAAACCGGATACTGAAACAGCATTGTTTTTTTGTTTGTGGTCTAGTCCATTGATGGGCGTGTGAAGCGACACTGTTAGGTGGTGAAACTAGCTAACACTTTCTACTTGATAGGAACAGCGGGGAAAATCTTCCTGATTTTATTCGATCACAGATTTGGCACATTTCCTCCTAATTTCATTGAAATGTATCGGTNATCGGTTGGATAATCGGCGGTAAACTCGCAGATCTATTTCTAGGGCGAGTAGTTGGCCCAGCCACCAGAGGTGTTTTACGTTATATCTGATCGGGCTAGCAACCCAAACCTCGTCATTCGGTCAAGGCATTCGATTGTGTGAGTTCAAATTTTGACTTGATCGCTCAAGTGACTGTGGTTGACAAGATTGGAAGCCCTTGATCATCACAGCAAGTGCCCACAAACTTGTTATTCAAAATTTGAACGNNNGATTGACAATTTTTGACAAGCAGCCTTTGGACTGTTATTGGCGCTGCACAAACCAAGCTATGCAATGTTTGAAATTTGCGGTAGCACCTCGTGTATGTGGGCGTGACTGAAGAAGGCGGATGACAGTTGGACTGCTCTTGGTCGATGACTCATAGACGAGCATCTTCGTTTGGATTCATCCCACTTATAACGTGGCTATGTCTTGTTGGTCGCCGGAAATTAGTGTGGCTATCACTTCTGACAATGGTCATCAAAGGACGTAGCCTAGAATGCTGGGGTAATTTCATCCCATACATGTGCGAATGGTACGCTTGTAATATAAATCATCCGATTTCATCGCTTGTTGATTGAAAGCTTCGGTATCTGATAAAGAAATGATACAGTTTCTGTAATGTTGTTTTCGTTCCTTTTGGTGAGCATATAAAAGTGCAATGAATTTTGAAGGGGAAAGCGACTAATGCACGGATTGCTATAGGCGAGTTAAACCGTGGTTTGGAGGTTCATATCCACGACCTATGTGGAGATCAGTTAGTGATAGTAACCGCTGGAACTCTGCCTTCTATAATAGACATTTACTGTCGCATCAATTTGCACTGAAAAAAGTACGGGCTATAAAGAAAGGTATGCTGTATGAAGATGTGCTACTTCATTATCCGGCATATTTAGCCCCGTAGATGCGCTAGACATAGGTGTGTCATCTTGTGCATATGTTATGCTGACAATTATCAATTTTGATTTATGCTTCATTTTTGAGATATGGATTATTTTTTGCATCAGAAATTCATATTAAGCAAATCGTTGATTAGCAAGGGTGCACCTGCTGTGCTCTTTGGGTAGAATTGGGATTAGCTCTGTTTTTCCTTAGGTATTGTGTGTGGACCGCACAAAGCGAACAAAGGTTACTCTCTAGTTACATCGTCGCAATGTGAATGGTTAACAAATATTTGGGTCGGAGCAACAGTGCGATGAATTTCTCTACCTGGTGGTCAAATAAAGTGCACTCTTGACTTTAGTGACTTTTCACATATGTACTTCGCATTTTTAGACTGACCTTGGCGTCTTTGATAAGACCGCATTAGAAGTATCAGAATACTATCAAATTGTAGCAACTCGATCACCATGTCTACTTTCTTCGATATGGACGCGATTACTTAGTCGACAAGCCTCGTATTTCAACGTGCATTTGCTTTGGCCACGTGGCAAGCCTTGGATGGTATAGAGATTGGGAAACAACCTTATCTATCAGACGATTAGGGGCTCCGAATACTCAGGCCTGGTTGTCTAAGCGAAGTCACCCTCACTTTTTCAGCAATCTCGCTGCGGTGATTCATCACCGCGGAAAACCACCACCCATGAAGCCGGATTATTGACGATCAAAAAGAAGCGGGCAAGCAGAACCGATGAAATAAATCGTGATGTAATCCAAAGGGCAAACGCGACGGCTGGTTGGAATCCATGAAATTTATCTGCACCCACTACTTATTTCATTTTAGTTTCTTCTGTAAAATAACATTCACATTCATGACAGCGTTTGTCTCACTTCGTATTAATTTTAAATATATCTTTTACAATTTACATATTTCTGTTGTGTCATTTCAGGCCTTTCAGTTCATTCCCGTTTTCTGAGCATTGATTGGTCAATTGTTTACTTATTTATTTATTTTGGGCCAATCAGAAGATGGTAATTCCATTTCATTTTATTGAGTTTAAAACTCCGGACTGTTCCGGCGAATTCAACGCTATTCAGATATAAAGAGTAACCAGAATGAAAAAGACAAATGTTCGCATAACAAACAGAAATTGCAGCACAGCTGCACAATAGTGGATACAAAGATGGATTGGTTATTTGGTAAGGCCCTTTGGGATCCTACTGATTATCTCGATTGAAGCTCTATCAAATAAATGATTTGTGGTGATACGGCCGAATACCATAAACAGTTGGACTGGTGCACGTTCTCAATTGCCTTAAACATCCAAATGTTTTCCAACTTGTTGTGCCTGGTTTTGCACATTTTGACCGGCTGAAGACCAAACACGCGGCTAAAAGAAAACAACCAAGACTGCAGCAGACATACAAAAGCAGAATTCACGGTTAGAGGAAAACGAAACCAAACGGAACTATTGTTCTGATTCCCGGTGAGAAGATACTCATCGCTGGATGAGATTCTTATTCACTCAGTTCTCTAACATATAGTTATCTTGTATCTGGCACGATGAAGAAGAAGAAGGGCACAGTGACTGCAATCGCGAACATCACACTGTTAACTTTCTTCCAGTAAAAATCCTATTCAGCACGCTTTTCTCCTCTGATTTCTAAACAATGGGAAAAGTGAGTGAAGCAAACGAATATCGTTCCGATTCAGCAAGTCATGTGGTACAATTATCTTGAAAATAAATGCGAAAGACAATTAGGTTCGGGTAGGCGGAATCGGTTAGTTCAATACCCCAAACACGTAGCATCAAGCCTACTGGTCACGTGTAGCTATCATATATCGATCACTTATTCATAAGTTACTCCTGAATGCATTTGAATACATTTGCGCTGTCCAAAATGAATACGAAACCTTCACGATCCGAACATATTTGTCGTCGGCCATCTAGGGCCATTATGAAACAGCGTTTTTTCCACAAGGCAATCCAGTTGGAGCATTCAACAAATTTCACGTGTATTGAAATTGAAAGCCTGTTGCGGATATTTGATAAAATTGTGGACAAATACAAATCCCCGATGACAAAATCTGTATTCAAAGATGTACTGTTCAATTTTTTCGGCCTGACAAACGATATTATGATGGAGAAAATCTTTCGAGCTATGACTAATGGGAATAGTGTGATGACACATGATGATTGGGTTCAGGGAATGAATATCTATCTTCGTGGAACTCTGATGCAACTGGCCAATTTTGCTTTCACTGTCTATGATCACCAGAAACGGGATCTGTTATCCAAAGAGGACATCCAGATGTACCTGCGTGATGTCCTCGTAGTTCGATTGCCCGAGGAGGACACAGAGGAATGTCATACGGATATGCTGGATATGGCTTTCGTACTACTTGATCGTGACAAAGATGGTTATATTAGTAGAAAAGATTTCTTAAAAAGTGTTCTCGCCGAACCACTTTTGTTGCAAGTCCTCGGCGAATGTTTGCCCCCTGCGAGCAGTGCCCTTACTTTGGAGTCATTGTTGAAGCAGGTGAACGACAAGTCGGAACTCATCTGAACCAAATCTAATTTGAAACTAGTGATATATATATATCTATGTATGAATGTATATCAATGACAATCAAGTGTACGATCACACAAATACAAACAAATGAATAATAAAATAAATGGGCGGTGAGTGAGTAGGTTTCATGTAACGAAAACAAACGGGTTGTGTAATAGCCACATTTTGTGGAAACAAATCAACTCCATCAATTACTGACACTCGCAAAACAGTTACCCCTTTGACGACGAATGTGCTGAACGGCCTTCTTATACGTAGTCTTGCGAAGGAATCGTCTCGGTCCTATTCTTAGAGAATCTGTTGTCTAGCGAACTTAAGAATCTATTACAAATCAGTCAACACTCTCGCCAATGTGACCTGTTGATAGCCTATTCTACTAAAACATTTGTCCGATAATGGAGGTCGTTTCTAAACCCAAAGTCGTGAGACTAACCATTTCTTGGATTAGGTGTTTTCACCAAATTGAGAGAGAGACCAAGGAGCCAATATCCCGATCTATAATCGGATTATTGCCTTACGACAACAGTCATCTGAGAGACTGGTCGCAATAAAGGGACAAAGGAAAGAACTAGAAAACTGAAAAGTCAGGTAGACCAAGGTTGGGAGTACACTGTGTAGATGTACAAACGTCACTCGTTATGCCGATTAGCCACGTGTCTCAGTGTTTCTGAGCCTCCTTATGCTGACTCCGAGGTCCCCATCCCGGATGCCCATCGTGACTCATGTCTCTTAGTCAGTTTGTACAACCATGCAATTTCGTGCGCCGGTTTTGGTTCCTGTGTTTGGCTACCCATTTGGATGAACAGTAGGCAAAAACAGGAAAGTTTCAAGGAGTCGAAAAGAAAATGAGAAATTTCAGTGAATTAATGTTGCAAAGAAACTGAGAAGATGCACGAGCAGCATTGTTTGTGACACAGTCATATCACTTACTGTCTCCAGTTACCGGTTACGATCATTCCAAGGTTCCCGGCCAGGTACCTTAACGGGACTTATGTGGCCGAGTCTCTTGGTCAGGGTTTTTATATCCCCCCCTGCCCGGTCTTAATTTGACCACCCTTTACTTTTATTTACCGACTACCTGGCTCGATAAACACTGTACGCCGTGGCAATCTATTTGGTGAGATGCGCCACACGTGCCCCAGCTAAAGTTATCTATGGAGGTCGAATACTTGCACTTGTGTGAGCTAAACCATTAATTTGTACAATCCGACCAACTGGTTACCGACCTTCAATGAGATACAGTTTTTGTACACCGTTCCACTGTTCTATGAGTCAGTCGGTTAACCAAAGGCTCCGGTTGTGAATCCCCACAGAAAATTCATCCGCTTTGGGCAATCTGACTGCATTTCACCCACCAGAACTCTTTGCAACAAAATGATTTGTTTGGCACAATCCATGTTCGAATAAGCCAGAAATATAATAAATTATAACAATAATTGTTAAATAACGTTAGGTTGAGTAATTATGTCTATAAATCTCAACTGTACGGTTAATTTATTTGAATAAAGAGCGAGACAACTGATGTATTCACTAAAAGCAAATAAATACGTAAGTGGCGAATTAAGTAGTTATTCTATTGCTAGTACGTTAATGTAACCGTAGCCGGCCCATAGGCCGGTGAGCAAGCAGTGCGTGAACTTTGGCCCAGTATTGCCAAAAACTGAATGACGTCAGGCTGGGCAGCCAACGAACGAATCAATAGGGAGAGGTCAATGATAACGTCTGATTCGCTGAGGTGGATCGACCGCATGGTGTGCGTGCGTGGAGGCAGGCTGCGTCGGTCAATCATGTGATGCGCGGTAGACATTTCAGTCATCTGCGGGCCACAACAGCAACACCCCATTTCATTGTGAATATGAATTGTATTCAAGTCTCGTCGATACTTTGGGTTCATATTCATATTCGCTTGTTGCTCATCGGTTACACATTGATTGTGAACCCATGCCACAAAGAGCCTCTTGTCCATTGAGGGCTCCGATACACGCAAGTTAAGACTCAGACCACATTCGATAGCCTAGCATATCTGTTACAGAGGTCACCCTATTAAACACTCTAATCTAAGGACATTGCACTCGATGTACAAAACATTTTCAAATTCTATTTCAGTGATCTGTAAAGGAAATTTGTTAAATTGTAAGCAAGAACGATACACTTCAGAGACGAGAAAGCTATTTGCTAAACGAGCATTTGAGACTATGAAGCACAGCTTGTTAAGCGGGAATAAACATCAGTTCATGTTCTTCTCTTTACGGAGCCGCAACAAAACCCTGCAAGTAAAATG